CTCATAGATAACAAAATATAAGTGCAGATGTTATACATGTATCCTAAGGGAGGGGTTTTTATCATATTAATGTCACTAAGAGCAAACATCTCCAGAAGGGAATGAGAAGTATTGTAAATACTAATTGGATCCCAGTGTGCGTGTGAGCACAGGAGTGTGCAAATCCACATACCTATAGAGGTATTTGTATATATGTATACACATATATGTGCACAGTGACTACCTTGTTTTTCTTAAGTAGATGAGCTCTGTGGAAGGATTATCTAATGAAGAAGGTTATACTTCACACAGTACGCTTGGCTTACTGCATTTGACTGCATGGGTATTTCCCAGCTGAGCTCTGAACAATGGCTAGTTACAAGAGGAAGCGATATCAGTCTTTGTCAATAAAAATCAAATGGCACTGAAGGTCACTGTGGAAAAACAATGACAAGAAAGTAATACTTGTAAGAACTGTGAATTACCAGTCACATTTTTGTCTACGGTATAATCTAAGGATGCAATGAAAATATTTGGTGATCTTTATAAAACTACCGGTTAAAGACAATTAGAAAAGCAGCAGACACAGAAAGAGAGGAGTTCAAATAAATTGCCGCAGGCAGGGTTGGCTACAGTTTGAGAGTTTATGTAATTGTTTCCTGTTAATGCTTGCAGTTTAGCAATTTGACTAACTATCTGTGACATTTCAAATATCCTCCTTCTGAGAAAATCACTTGCATCAAGTTTATGGATGGGGATATGAATGCAGCTGCAGGAAAATATAATATAAGGCTGAATTTTTAGAGATCTAAGTGAGTTGACAGTGAAAACAAATACACAAATTAAAGGGAGTGAGACTGTTCACTGGCTTCTGGCAAATTGAGGTTTTTACTGTTTCAGGCAAAGTGGCACGTCAGTCAAATACCAACAAAGACATCGTAAAGCTTACCAGAGAAACTAAGGGTTCTCCTTAGGCAGATTAATCACTGACAAAAGTAAAAGTAACAGCCTATTTACATTACTGATCTATCTGGGAGGTGAAGCCAAGGACATTTTACCCTCCAAATCCCCAATCCTTATGAAAATAAATAATTCTATAGCATTTGACTGCATGGATTCTCGCTGACTTCAGTGGGACGACCTGTAGAGCATAAAACTGAGGGCTCATGCAAGTCTTTGGATCAAGTTTAAATGTACAGCATTCCTGCCCCCAAATGTTCAGTAATATCCCAGCTAGCAAATGTGCCTGTGCCCTCCAGTACAACAGGCATTTTTTCCATGCTGTTTACATTATCACTTGCTAAATATATCACAGTGCTTCCCTAGCATTACATGGCTTTCCAGCCTGGGAATTTCAGATATAACAGAGTGCATGCTCCTGCCACACTTTCAAAGAAAGCCTACCCTGTACAGTCACAGTTCACTAGTGACTGTCCTACAAGGCAGCTTTTGAGAAATGTTCACATGCGATGTTGGAGAGTAGGTTTACTCCAGCACTGCTGAATGTAGGGTCTCATGGAGACCCACAGGGACAAATAGCATTGTGTCTTTCCTGTTGCATAGCTTAGATTTTAGATCTCTAAAAAGACATGGCATGTCTTTTTATTTGCTGTGTGTCAGTTGAGAATGTGGAAGGAAAGAGGATGTTTAATGGGGAAGCAACACTTCCAAGGAATGAGCGATACCCTCGTGAGTTGCCATGACCTTTGAAAAATAGGATAAAACCTCAGCTGCAAATGGAGCCAGCCAGCTGCATATGTAGCACATGCATCGGGACAAAATTCCTTGAAAACAGGAAATGACAGGAAGACACCTGACTACATCTAGATATGAATGCATGCAGCTTAGTTTAAGCAATGTTGTGCCTTTATGAATGCACTTGACTTTTAAGTCTGTGTATAAAGGATATTCAGAATTTGATTCAGGTGAGGCCAGAATCCCAGAGCAGAATATGTGAGATTGTTTCCTGAGCTCAGAGTGCCTGCAATCACTAGCATGCTCCAATCCCAGAACCAGCAGGTGAACCGGCACAGGTAGGAGAAATTTTCTTGCCTGCACTTGGTACCTATGACCATGGTTTAAAAGAATAAATTGACTCAGTCCCACAGCTTTCCACTAAGCTAGAACAGCCACCTGAGAGTTGGTCCTGATATGCTTTTTATTTCAGAGATTCATCAGAAGTTTTTCTGTGTCAAACATCTAGCAAAGTTCTCTTCTGCAAATGGCTTTGTCAGGAAAGTCTCTTTCCTTCTAAATACATCTGAGTTGGTCACATCAGTGGTGTGACAACAAGGTGTGAAACATATTCTTGCATGCTACTTGACCTTTTAAAAGGCAATCAGTAAAAAGGAACTATTTGCAAATGCTTCAGGTTCAATGAAGCTGTGCCATACATCCTCCCAGTTGCCTGCCACGAGGTTAAAGGTAGCTTTACCTCCGGTGTAGACATTAGTGTTGTACACATTTAGTGCCAGCAAGGTTGAGATACAGCAGTTGTTAATGAATATGTTAATTGTGTCTGAAGGATGAAGGTCAATGTGTATTTTTACAAAGATTCTTGATGTTTCTGTTATTTAAAAAAGAAAAAAAGAAAGCCAACATAGAGTCCAGAATTTAATTCATTTTCAGACTGGATGCAGTAGCTGTACTGTTTTCTATCTCATGTATCTTCTTTTTCCTCATCCCCTCTGTCCTCCTGTCTTTCATCACTAGAAAGAAATATAGGGGAAAACAAAACAAAACAAAAACAAAAACAAAAAAACACCACTTATCAAGGCTACATATTTTCAACATAAATGCTTCCATATGTATTTCTCACAGCAGCTAATGTCATCATTTTTTTTTTTCTCTCTGTAACCAGGAAGGGGCAGAATGTCATTAAATCTGTTTTTCAATGATGGGTAACTGGATATAGGATGCAAGAGAATGGCAAGAGATTTTTCAATAACCAGAAGAACGGGAACTGTGAAAGAGGCTTCTTGCATGAAAAATAAAAAGTAGTTTAGTATCAGTCTTCAGAAGGAATATTATGTGAGGCACTAAATTCCTGAGAGAAGGAATACTTGTGTGTTGTTTTTAATGGGCATAGATTGTGCATCCCATAAATTCCATCTGTAGGATCAGAAAGGCATATGCTGTTTTCTTTTTGTGTACGTGGAACGGCTCAGTTTTATTAAATACCTGCTGGTACCTATTGCTATTTGAGTTAACATCAGTTAAGCTCTTCACAGGAAACACTCTCTTAAGTGACAAGAGCTACCCAAAATGCTACTTCAAAGGTACAAAAGTAAGGCCCTACTTCCATACTGCATACATGGGTAGGATGTGCCACCTACCACAGCAGCTGTTCTAACAAATACTCTAACAGGTCTAACTCATAAAATTAGAAAATGGTTACTTTCTCAGAAATGCAGGAACATAATACCATCTGATGTTGTATAAACATGTTGACCCTCTTCTGGAGCTACCAGAAAATAAATATTAGTAGCTACTAACCTGTAGGGAATGTCATCTTCAGTGCTCAAGATCTGAGTGACAGTCATCAGCCTGGAGAGCCACACTGTCATTGTGAGTTGGTAATTTCTAAATGGTGATACTGGAGAGCATTTCCCAGCTCACAGGACCTGCTGATGTCTCCCACCACATCTGTGTGCTGGGGGAGACCAGGGCATGCATTGTCTTCATATCGTATCCTGCTTTTTGTGAGTGGGGAATGCTAGTAAGGATACTGAAAGCAAGCTCTGGTGTATTCTGACCACAAAGCATAGTAGCCATGCGCTTTAGACATGTCTGTAGCAACTACGCCAATATAGAAGGAAGGCATATGTATACAAGGGAAGTTGATTTAAGCCTGCAGCAATTTTTCTCCTCCTTTCATAATAGAAAAGCAGTCTATGGGGCACTATTTTTTTGCATCCTGCTTCCTTCTTTATCACTAACAATAAAAGCAAGCTTAGAATGACATGGGCAGTCAGAGATCAGAGATGTGATATTGTGAAAGCCCCCGTCATCAACCTGCACGAGCATTAGCATGGTTTGGAAGCAGAGGTTGGGGTGAAGATATTAAAGCTATTCTAAGCACCTCATATATGGTCTGGGGAATGCTCATTGAGAAATCATCTTCAATGTCATGCAGTTAAGGTGTGAGGGACAAAAATGAAAAAGGGTTCCATGGTAAATGGTTTTTACACCATCCTTGGCTGGTAAAGCTCCTCAGAGGGGGGGGGAAAAAAAAAAAAAAAAAAAAAAAAAAAGAAAAAAATCATCTACTGCAAATAATATGTAATGCATTGTGTGTGTACAAAGGATACAGGCAATTTGAATCCTTAATGTTCTCTTTCAGAGTACAGGAGAATTGAAAAAAAATATATAAATGAAAGTGCTAAGTCTTCCCTGCATGCATTTTTTTGCTCTAGTATTTTATAATTAATGTTATTGTCACATATTCTAAGCTTTCTTTATGCTCTGTTGTCTATATAGTGCTGGTTACTATGCAGTCTCTGGGCAAGGTAAAAGAAAGTCAAGAAAAATGGTGAATGCATTAGTAGACAGTCCATTACTGATTTTATTCAGCCTTGAACTATGATTGTTTGAAATGTCAGAGCACCAGGAGAAATACATCCACTTGCTTATGTATGTGAGACTTTTCTTTAGAATGTCGTCTTATTGTTTTTGTTCCTGACAAACTTCATATACACACACATTTAATCACGCAGTACAAATTCAATAGTGCAATTACCTCTGTGACTTTTACAGAGGCTTCCCATATACTGAAGAGGCAGATTGAATTGCAAGGCAGCATGAATTACAGAGATAGTTCCATCAAGTGTTTCTGGTGCTGTTATAAAAAAACAGAATGAACCTCAAGTCACCAGAAATCTGAGACAAAATTATAGCCCCATGCTTCAAATAAAAGCTTGTGAAAAATTAATGTGTGAATGTTAAATTAATAGCGTTCATTTTGAAAATGATAAAAAGGAACATGTCTTTAAAATGTGCCTGCCTCCCTTTCCTTTCTTTAGTGTTCAGGAGGCTTTCCACCAAAGGAATGGCTTTTCTCTTGCAAAATAAAGCTGGTTCAACGCTCTCTGATTTGGAGACACATTTGTAAGTACTTTCAGCAGTTTAAAATTCTGTAGGGTGGGTAGCCCTCTAATCCATGCTCTCCAAATTATTTTTGGCCAGGCTGAGTTAAAGCCTATAATCATGGGGCACCAACTGTTCTTGCGGCTGCGGCACAAGAGGAAAAAGGAGATTGCACAGGCCCATAGGATGATATACAAAATATGTGTCCCTTAACAAGGAAAAAAAAAGAAAAAAAGGATGAATGAGCTTTTAGGGTATTTTCAGCCTTCCTCAAACATGGTCAAACAAGTAGGTAACAGGCTGGACCAAGAGGGGAGCCACAGCACTGAGAGGTGTGTGAGAGTGTGCCAGGGTTTCCCTTGGGGAATTTCTGAGCTGCTGCAGCCTGGCCTTGCCTGTAAAAGATGGCAAAGCTGAGTGGTGTCCCTGAGAGACCACATTAGGGTTGATCTCAGGTGCTTTCTTCTCTGACTGCCCACTCACACAACAGCCACGGGCAAAATGTTTATCCTCAGATAGCCTCAGAGCACCATCCCTTTTTAAAACTTAATTCAGTCCGAACTGATGGAGAGGGCTTGGTTGCTACCTCCGCAGGATAAAATCAATGAGGAAATAAAGACTAACAATTTGCCATTCTGAAGCCCAAAAAAAAAGCCTTTCATCCTTTATCGTGATGTATCAAAAGTGACATCCATTCCTTACATTAGCGTCTGCAGACTCTAATTATGCATGTAATCTAACAGCTGGGGGGAGTGGCTTTTGATGCTTTGGGCTGCAGGATGCTTTGGAAGGCTAAAGAGTGCTTGCTAATAATAGGATCCTGAAGATGTTATGTGGGTCTCCTCGTGGAAAGGTCCCTTTTCTCTCCCACCCAGAGCCGACCACAGGGCACTGAAAAGCAGCGTTCAGCCCCCTGAGGCTCCCCTTCTCCCCATGCTCCCAGCAGCTCTGCTGCCTGATATCCTGCCATCCCCCCATTAATCAAGCTGCCCAGTTTTGTTGTCTGGGAGCGGGCTTTTCCTCTTCCTGCTGGGAAGGGAAGCCTGCTTTGTCCTTTTAGCCATTTCCAGCCCCAGGATCTGCAGATGGGGCTGGGCAGCAGGGAGGAGGTGAGGAAAGAAAGACGGGCCTCTGCAGCCTGCGGGGGGGAAAGAGAGAGGTTGGCTTCAGACCCTTGCAGCCGGAGTGCCTTCTGAGAAGGAGAAAGAGGGGTTGTCAGCCCCCTGCCTGGGCTATAAGGGCAAGAACAGCTTCTGGGTTTCATTTATTTTACCCATTAGTTGCCTGCAGTGGCTTGCAGAATGGCAGCTACAAAAGGGAAGTTCTGAGGTCCGCAGAGTTATTGTCCCCTAAATCGCCTTTCCCTGGCACATGTTTATAAACAGCCCTCCCTGTCACTGACAACAACTATCACGCTCAATTCAGGGCTTTCCTGTGGGAGTGAAATGCTATAAAGGGGAGGAATTCAAAAGCCCCTACCATCACCTGGGTGTTTTCCATGCTGAGCTCCATTCATCACTGCCACATCCAAAGGCTTTAACCCCTCGTAGAGCCTCAGCCTAGCCAGTACAGAGGGACGAAGTTACCAGACTAAAACTACTGAAAGCCAGGCTTGCTGCACACCCGGCGCCTCCACCTCTTGCAACATCCATGGCCTGCATGACAGGTTGGAGAAGGTTCAGGGAGACACCAAATGTCAGCGATGTGGCAAGGCATCAGAATAGGAAAAAGATTTATTATGGGTGTCAGAAATTCAGAAATGTCTGTTACCTTTGAGGGCAGCCAAGGAACGTTCCCCCGGGCCGGTCACAGACCCACAGCAGCAGCATGTTCATTACCTGAGATGCAGCTCCAACCACTCTTTTCCCAAAACAGGCTCCTACAGAAGGAGTGCTTTATGTGGAAATTGACCGTTTTAGAGGTAAAGCAGACAGTACATTGCTTCCTCTGTGGGCTAGGAGCAAGTGCTGCTCCTTCAAAGCTGGACTAGGGTGAGATTCTGTCTGTAGTCCCCAGAAGTCCACAAGGGACTGCTCAGGCCAGGTCTGTGGGGATGATATGGAACAGACAGAGCTGGGGGTGCCAGCACAACCCCCTCAACTGGTTATATCTTAAGGGAAATATATACCCTGCATCCTGGTGCTGGGAACTGCTGCCTATCTGTTTCTTCCAGCTTTTGGTGGAGCAAGAAGCAGCAGGCTCCCCAGCTTTCTGCTTTCTCAGCTGACCCAAAAGAGAGGAACAACTTTGCCTGAAACTATCAGCAGTGACACACATCTATTATGTCTGCTGTTGAGTCACAAATGTCTTTTGTATAGAAACAAGGGGGAAGTGAGGATTGCTGTTCAAACGCTGCTTTCTCTCCTTGGACTGGCCATAGGGTGCCTGTGCTATTCTGGGGACAACAGTTACTCTGTGTCCTTCATTCTGCATGCCATGGCCAAGGCAAAGAAGATTTGTCTTGCAGAGAACTAAGGAGTGAGTCAGTGCTGGAGTCAAGGACAGACTCTGGGAGCATTGCATCCTAGTTTCCCTTGCTCGCCCTCACATAGCATCCCAGAGAATTTTGAAGAAGTCAGGGGTGCAACACAAAACCCTGGGAAAATTAATAAGCAGTTTCTGTAATGGCCAATTTTTACAGTACTGGAACTGCAAACTGAGACCTGCAAACTGAGAAGACAAGAAGATTCCAACTGAGCAGGATATCAGTTGAATTAACTTCTCCCCCCATTCCCTGCACTTGCCAAGTTCCAAGATACTTTACCAAGAAAACAAGAACCAGATCACACGAGTGTTTTCCATTTAGATTTTGTCTAAGCTAAAGACACTAAAGAAACCTTTAGGGAAAATTAAGAGAAAAAGAAAATTGGCTCACTCTTCCCACTTATTGCTTTAATAGAAGGAAATGAAACTTCAGGCTGTAGTTCTTAAGCCCAAGGCCCACAGCAATCTGTCGCTCTATGTTTTCCCATGGAACTGGGTAAACAAAATACTGGTTGGCCTTTAATAAATGAGAAAATGAACACATGAAGGAGTACTTGATCAGAAGTGACAAGAGCAAGAGCAGAACGATCCAGAGGAATAAATAAAGCTGTGAAATTTAATAATAATATTCCCTAAAGATATCACAAATTCTTTTCGGACTATTGCATAGGTTCCCTGACTACCTTCTTCCAGAGACTGAACTGTGTTCCATCAACATTTCCATTGCTCCTACTGTTTTAACTTGCTCAGGACAAGGAAACCACCTCAAAATACTACTGGAAGGTGCTTTAAGAAGTTATACTCCCATGTTTTCTTTCAAGGTAAGTGCGAATTGTTGCTTTGAGAAGTCTAATTAAAGTTAACTGCTTATGGAGAAATGATGGGCTTGCATGTTTCAGCTCTCCCTAGGGGTATGCCCTTCCCAGCTGAATTAAGTTGCCACTGTGTTTCACTAATGTGCATCTGATGCTTAATGAATTGGGGTGTTATTACCATTGGGTAGAGGTGGATTAAAATTAAGTCCAAAGCCTTTCCATTCATTCCACTAATTATTCTCTGCATTCATTGCACACAGATGAGACGATGAAAGGCTCCCTGTTGTGCGGGATTTGGACATTTCACACTTGGAACACAAATTGGGCTGATTATCCATACAGCATTATTGTCACATTTGTGGGTTTTGGTGCCAGGAAGCAATAAGCTGTGAACTGCCATATTCCCACTGTCTCAGCCTCTGGGGATGGGAAGGAAAACCCCTTTTTTGTATGTCCTTCTTCAATTTCGTATCTAGATCATTTTGGCTCATAGACCTATACCAGAGACAGATTCCCCTCTCCTCTCTCCAAATGTAGAAGCAGCCATCACTCTGAAGCTTTGGAGGCATTCAGACCATGCTTCTAAAAATCAGGTTCCATTCTTCCATTCCCATACTCACAGGTTTCAAGCAAAACGCAAAGCACTGAGATGCTGTAAGCGCAATCTCTTGGCACTATCTGCTGGGGAACACAGTGCTGGAAATCTTTTGAAATAGATGGCTTCTCACATAAATTACACTCTGCTAAAAGACTTCAAGGGATTCTAGTTCATGGTTGATTCTTATCCAGGCAGAAAGTCTTGAGTGTTTTGGATTGCCCCTCTTTTAGCCTGACTTTCCTAGGTCAAGGGTAGACAAAGTCTTTACTGTCAGGATGCTGGTGTCCCAGGGGCAGACTGCTCTGCCATAAAGACACATTCAGCCCTTAGTTGCTGATCCAGTTATGCAAGTGCATTGCTTCATGTGATTTCTGTAGTATAGTGAAGTCCCTTCTCCATTAGGACAGGGCCTGATGAAAACCCAGCACTGCACCAAATACTGGATCAAGACTTAACAATCACTCTTTAGCCTGTATTCTTCCAGAAATGCCCGACATTTTTGTATATGTACATGTATACAAACAGGCTGATGATATACAATATATACGCACAACCTCATCTTACAGGTAATATAGTCAAGTTACACTTAAGGTACACTTATTTCTGGAGTTTCAAGAGAACCAATTAAAAAGAAACCTTTGGATGTCATAAAACTTGACACATTTGTGTGAAATACTTCTATTTTGAAGAAATATTTCAGAATATTCATATTAAAAGTTGTTTTGTCAAAAATCTACCAATTACAGCAAAAGGGAAACTAATGAGGAAAGCAAGTCTGGCACAGAACTGAACAAACTGGAGGCATCTCATACATAAACTTGGAATCAGATCTTACTCATGTCCCATGGATGTGTGAAATAAACTGACAGTTTGCTTAGTCAAATGTCTTGTCTGGCTGATGGCTGCAGCACCAGCACATGAAAGAAACTATGTAAAACAGGGGACAAAAATTATTCTTCAGCTGTACTCCAATAATAATGTTGAAAGCAACTACATCTGTGTTATGAGGCAGAGGCAGTATAAAAAATTACTGTTAACCTCACATACTGCAAAAACTAGGGAGGTGTTAAACAATTGCATTCCCATTTTGGGAAAATATGACTATGACTGTATCCTTGACAGAAATAAGCTGTGATTCCAGAAATAAGGAGCAGAAATAAGCCATAATTCTTTAGCCTTCCAGAATTTCATAACCATTGTCAGTATTAACCAAGTCACAGACTTCAGGGTAATTCTCCAGGAAAACTTTGGAATCTCCTAAGCAAAACATAAATACAAATTATTTTTAAAATAGTGGCTTTAATCCCAGAGTTGAGGGAGCTCACTTGAGAATTTATACTTCGACATATTAGGACTGAATCTTAGGGAAAGGTCTAATGTTATTTTGTGCAATTGGCAGAATTGCAGCTCCGATTTTTCCTTACACCCACCCTATTTAGATTCAAAGCCAGTCTCATATGAGAGCCTTTAGTAAGTTTTCTCTGAGGAAGAAAACCTAATGGAGTCCATGTACTGTTATCACAAGTCCATGTGTGTTCCTACCAGAATATGACTGGCCCTTGACAGTCACAGACATGCACCAGATGCATGCAATCTATTTTGGGGGTGAAGTGGCACTGTCAATAGTGAGAAGACAGGCTGGTCATGGGACTTTTTTACAAAGTCCTTTATCTTTTTTTACTGCAAAGGCAGTAGGATTTTGTAGCCTGTCAGGGTGTAAGCTATTCATTGGTTTTCCAGCTGTGTGGTGGCAAAATACAGCCAATGATGTGGATACGTGGATACATCCTGCCCACTCACTGATTTGCAGTCCTAGGACTAAAGTGCCTCCTAGCCCACACCCTGCATGGTACAGACTGAGCTCTCAGGGTTTAACCATGCACTGAATGTTGATAAAGTGTTTTGTGAAACAGTCAGTATAATTACATTTTAAAGTTAAAAAAAATATATATTTTGCAGAACTGAGACTGAAACTGCTGTATGTTATCTGTACGCCTGCTAAATGCTGTTCAAACTGTTTGCTACTCTAAAAAAATGAAAATAACATTCATATAGAGCTGTTCTTCTACGGAGACCATTACATCTTCTTGAGCCAGACACATATGCTGTTTAGACTGTACTTATGTGTTAAATCAAAGCCATCTAAGTAAATGATGTAAGTTCATGAGCCACTGCTGCATGCCCTTGCCACTGAGCTTAAACCATTCATAGTAACACTGTCCAACACACAAGTACAAGACATTTTTATTGATACAATCACACTCAATTACCTTGCACACCATGGTTACACAGCCCTTGCCAGTCAATGTTGAGATGGGTATGTGGCAATTTCTTCCTTTGAAAAAGATTATATAAGTAACTATAAAACTAAAAATAAATAAAACTAAAAATAAAAAAAACCTGCTGCCATAGAATAGGACTCCCTGAGCAAGCGAGATAGTTAGCTAGATATATTCTGCAGGAATTTTGTTATCATGTTGGGATTTTTATGTTCTGTAAGCCAGCTGCTAAAACACGCTTCATTGGGATGTTAATAAAATCTCTCTTAGGGGAAAAGTAATACAACAGGCAAAGAGATTCAAGGAAAAGGGGGGAATTTTTCCCAGAAAGAGCCACCTCAGAGAGGAAAGTATTCCAGTGGTGAGTACGTTCACAGGGGAGGTGGGATTGCCTCCACACATTGCCATACCCTGGGCCTTCCACCTGGCACAGGCCAAATACACAGGCTAATACAATTTTCTCATGTGCTTCTGCTGGGCATCACTTCCACCAGGCTGTTGTACCAGTCAGGGGCATGAGACACTGCTCCATCGAGTCCCTCAACCTATATGCTGACATATATTCCCTCATGGAGTCTCACGTTTGATAAGATGTCCTCTGAGGTGAGATACTGAACCAGAAATGCCTTGCCTTGCCTCCAGAGGTGTCCCTCACTGTCAGCAGTGAGCGAGACCAGAGCTTGTGGGAATACTTGGCAGCTTGTTCAAAACTAAGTGTTTACCTCTGACACAAAGATTTGAATTACATCATTCAACATAACATTTGACTGGAGAGCTTAGAGTCACCGATAAAAAAAGCAGGGGCATCGCCTGTTTATTTTCCTGTTGGGAACATCTTGTGGGCTTTCTTGCTCTGCTGATGGTTATGAATGTGTTGTTGCTTTGATCCGAGAACACAGGCCTAGGGACTCTTCATTAGAGGAGTGACATACAGCATGCAGATGCTGTGCATGACATTTCTTGACCGGAGAAAGGTTCAGTGCTCTTGGAATGAGGCCCTGCATGCACGATCCCAAAGCTATCCCAGCGCTCAAATGAGGAATCTGAACTTAAAGGAATGTTTGCTCGTTCGTTCACCCTTAATTAGTTTGTATCCACTAAAGCCATAATACACTGTAACTCATTGACTGAACATGAAAGGCAACAAATTGGTTAATTGAGAGAGAGCAATGCCGTGCCTGCTCTGTTTGTGGGAGCCAGGGCTACTGCTCCCCAGGCAGAATTGCCTGCAGAGGGACTGTGGGGTTATCACCAAGCTGATCCCTTACACCCTCTGGCAACAAGGGCAGCAAACAGCCCATTGTGCTGCAAAGCTCCCGCAATTTGCCTCCTCCAATGCACTTCCTTTGCCCTCCCACACCCACCCCAGATGCACACCAATTTCCAGTCTGCATGTCTGAAAGACCCTGGGTGCAAGCAACAGATGCTCTGGTTCTCTCGCTAATGCTCTTCCTTCCTCAAAGCTCCCTTTTGCCTCTCATGCTTCATCCCCCTCCATCATTCCAAGGAACTGGGAAGTGAGAAATAAGGCTGAGCAAAGGCATTGCATTGCAGCCTGCACAGGGCTGGAGTAGCTGTCTTTTTATCTCCCAGGTTCGGAGAATTCATCCACATATCCTGCTTCCAGCTGCTTAGCTGTCAGGTCTGCTCTGCTCAACTCCCACTGCCATTCATTTCGAATTTCTGTGGAGAAAGCTCTCTCCACAACTTGGTTTTCCTAATGGCATGCACAGCCCTCAGTTCAGGAGGGTCTGGTGAGACTTCTTGTCTTCCCTTTTGGGGCACCACACAGACAGCCAAGATAGAGATATTTATTTGGTTCTAAAGGAAAAATTCCGTTCTTAATTGAAAAGAAAAAAAAAAAAGAAAAACAAACAAACAAACAAAAATCTATTAAAACCTTTAGTTACATCTGCCAGGCATTCCAGTGAGAAAACAAATAGTGGTAGTTTTGTTCCACTTTTCATTAGAGACCTAAGAATTTGAATGTCTGTAGTGAATGCCAGCCAGTTGCTTTTCCTTGAAACTAAAATAATTGAAATAACAAACATGACATGACATTCAGCTGGAAATTCAGCCAGCTCAGAAAGTAGCATCACCAAAGTCTAGCCAATGCTGCTCTATAGCTCTTCTCCAGCAAATGGAACTGTAACTATTGCAAGGAGAGAGCACTTGCAGAATATTTCTTTTCAATTTTGCTGCCAGAAATATCACAGTTGCCTTTCAAATGTCTGCAAACATTCCTGAGAGTCTTGTGATGCTGAAATACCCAGTAGTTTTCCAAGCCAAGTCATCAAATCCTGAGAATTTGAAACTCATTTTTAAATGAGTTTACTAATACTTAACTTGCATTTGTGCCTACCTCAAAGCCTCTTCATTGTATCCTAAGAACAGGATGTCATCTTTACCTGTTAAGATATTCAAATTATGAACTAACTGGCTTTCATTTTGATTGACATCATATAGATTTCTTTAGGTTGGGTAATACACTATTTTTTCACATAAGAAAGACGAGACTTAAAGATTCCTTTTTAGCATAATGTATCTGTCCAAAATGGTATTAGATTGAACACTGAATGGAATTATCTCCATCAGGGAAGAAATAAAAAAGGCCTGGACTAGTTCCATACTTTGAAGAGAAGTTGCGTTATACTATTATGGAGCTAAAAGATATAATGACAGTTTGAAGAGTTTTGGTTGGGTTTGGGCTTAGTAGTTCATTAGAGACACTTGATTACTTGTTTTGAGCTTTTTTTTTTTTTCCATTTCCTCATTCTGAGGCCTAAGTACACAAGCTTCTTTATCCACATGCTCTTGCCTCACTTGGAAAAAAAAATCAGTTGGGCTTGTTTATACCTGTGTGTTCCTACCAACCGATGACAGTGCATACCATTATCCCTCATTAGGGTGATGAATACTTACAGCTGTGCATATGCTCAGACCTCTTTGTAACCTTTTGGACGTGAACACAAAACTGTGAATAGGGCGGTCTGCTGCTCTGAGAATGTACAGCACTTCGCAGTCACTCACATGCACGTACAAATTTAGAGCCCAGCTGAAAGCAAACCTCAGTGTCATAATGCCTTCTTCATGCATGCAAAGTACATTTTAACAGCCTTTGTGTTAGTTACCACATATGTCTAGCAGCTGGATGCTGAGAGACTGGGAAACTCAAACTGTACAGAAGAGCCATAAGGGAGTGCTTGATGAGTATTTTCCAAGTGAACAGCACAAATAAAACTACAAGTAGAAACCACAGTTACTCTAACACAAATCCCTGTCTCACCACCACAAAAAGCTCCCATTAGCCATCCTCTATACTTGGCTTTCCTTTCACCCCAGGTTTTTGATAACAATCAGAGATGAGTTGCTGTACACTGGTCCATCTCACTGTGATTCTAATATAGACTAGATTCTAAAGGGACCTCATAAAAGTACTCTATGTTAAGATATTCCACCCCATTGTTTGTTTTGTTTCTTTTTCTACGGAAATAAGCATCACATAAAGATGATGACTATCTATTTTTCATCTAGTTCCCAGACCTTATTAGATTACGTGCCTATTGGCAGATGCAGCCAAAAGCTGTCAAAGATAGTCTCCAAAGACTCATAACCTTCTTATATGCCTTGTGAAAGTAAGAGATGAGGTTAAAGAGAGAAGTCTAATTTTGCGTAACTACAGGTGTTAGACTATATAGAGAATTCACAGTCCCAGACTGCATTTTCTTAGACTTCAAATTCACTTCTCCACAAGACTCAAATCCATAGGACAAGCAAATTCAGAGCCAATGTGGAGCTGAAATATACTACAGAAATTTGTAGGTGGAATGCTTATCAGACTGTTTGCTTCATATGATAAAAGATACATGCATGCATGTTAATGACAAAACCAAAGATTTTACTACCACTGAATTCCTGTTAGAGTGGCAGAATGAACTAGTAAAAAGGTTGAAATTCATTTCCATCTTCATTGTACACCATGAGCAGAATTGTTTATTGAGATGGTAGGACTGTCAGAGAATAGCCTCTTATAAGAAAGTATTTGTGAAAGCTGTAATCATGTAGGTGATACCTAATCATACATGATTATCCAGTCTAGTCAGGGAGTTGAAGGAGTTCAGTGAAAAACAACTGAGTTATCACCATTGGAAATAACTTTGGATCAAGCCATCATGTGTTGATTTGGTCTAAATTAAATAGAATTAAATTATAACAGGTTTGGGATTTCAGAGAGAAAAACTGAGAAAGTAAGGGCACAGGTCAGTGAAAACACCTGGACTGGAAAATCTAATCTAATTATCTCAGGGACAGGAAAACTATCAGGACTTTTTTTGAAAAGAAGGAAAAAGAAAAAGCAGAATTTTGAGATAAATAACCCATACAAAGAAAATAAAAAGCTATAAAATGCTACAGAAACTTAAATTATAGAAGTGTATTGAAATATACATGATTATATTATCTGCCATATTGTATTTAATTTTGTTTATATTTAATAAAATAAAAAAGCAATGCATAACATTAGCAAGAGTCAGCAGTTACCCTATAAAAGTGGTTAAAGACTGTCTAGTTCAAATAGATTTCAGAAACTCAGTGACAGACATATCCTGTGTGTTTGGGTGCATTAATTGACTTGCTGGATGATGTTGACATGAAAAAAAATAAATAAATAAATAAAAATGAAAGGCACTATAGACAGGAAATTATTACATTAGACCAGAAACAATATGACCAACTATGATAACCAAGCTGGCCTCCTGGACTAACCACACACTGGAACTGCAGGGACAAATGAACTCATCTCCATGGAAATTAAATCTCAATAGATTTATAACAAAGACTTTGTGATTTACTTCTCTCCAAACCCTTTGTCTTCAGCAGTAGGGAAAAGGAGAGAGTACTCCTAGCCCTACGCTTGGCTTGCAGCGCTAATGACCTCAGCTGATTGCAGTGATGCAATAATAAGGGAGCGAGGTCATAAGGAACAGCAGGTGGGATACTTGGGGGTCTTGTAGTTGGGGGCAGAGGGGTCAGTCTGCCAACTTGTGGAGGCAGTTCAGCATCTGAAGAGCAAGGAGACTGTCTGCTGTGATGGAAGATAGAGGAGGTAAGCTTTGCTGGATATTAGCTTCTTGCCCTGTTCCCTTCTAACCTTCCTGAAACACAACTGGTAATTACAGTGGGGCTCAATGAGAGTCTGTTTTTAAATTTCGGTTAGGAAGGGTGTCTAAATGTTGGTGAGAACTGTAGTATAATCCATATGAAGTCTTAAGTAAACCAGTATTAATGAGCGTGTTCAAGGTTTTTCCTCTCTCATTCTTAAATAAAAAACTTTAACCAAGAGGTTAGACTAAATGTGACTTGACAAAAATGTAGCAGTAAACTTGGGAAAACCCTTTTAATCTAAGGCTGTAATAAATGTGGTTCACTTTCCATCTTTGCTCTTGTAGCTTGGATTTATGTTTACTTATTTAAATATATTCCTACTCCTGGAGTGTTTGGTAAATGTTTGTTTACTTAGTTTTCTTATCCAGAAATTGTGGTGGTTTGAAAAAGTATAAGATCAATTGAACTGTGTGAAGTATCCCGTGAGTGATAACTGAAGTCTCCTTTAGAGAGCTGAAATTGTCTTAAAATATAAAAGTAAAAAATCAAAAATCTTGATTTCCTTAATGATATTTTAACTCTCTTTGAAAGTAGCTTGACATTTCTTTGTGTAAATCTGGTTTATTTTTTATAGAACAGGAAGCTATTGAAGCTTGCTACGCAGCCATTTCACAGAGCTGTGGCTTCATTTTTGTCTGAAACCTACTTTCAGCTGCTTTTGGTATTCATGTCGTGGTTCAAGCAGCATCTTAACTGATGTGCCTGGGTGGAATGAGTTTGATAAGGAAGATGGATAGATATGGAATTCCTGAACTGCAGTTATGGAAAGGAATTTTATCAGTTGGCTCTAAAGCACCTCACTTGTAACAGTGTGTATACAAGGCTATCTTGTGGCAGTGCTGATACCCCTGTAATGTGTGCTGGTATGCAATGGTGATGTGGAGTGGGGTGGCTTTTGCTTGCCTGGGTTGCTGTAGCTCAGTGCTCCTGTGTGGGTCCTGCTGCAGTGAACCACTAATGAATGGCATCTGTGCTCCAGGAGAGCTGGGATCTGGGGGGGGGAGCTGGGAGGAGGGAGGACAAGGCTGCCTGCAGAGCAGATAGGCAGCATCAAAAAAGTCAGGCCATTGGCCTCTTTCCTCAGACCAAACTGCACAGGCAGTCTACTAGCCATAGTCTTTCAGTGGGGGCTGAAGACTTGTGAGGATTGGGGAAACAGCAATAGTTTTTATAGTCTTTCCACTTGCAGACTGCACAGGTGACATACTGAAACTTTAAATAGCTCTGCCAGGCAGATTAACCTCCAAATCCACGCAATCATGGTGCAAGCTTCCTTACCAGATGACTCCAAGCTGTGTTCATTGCTCTTCCCTCTCCCCACCAGAGCTCTCTCTTAGGAGGCTGGGCAATACCCTGTGTTGTGGTATTTGCAGGATTGCAGATCTGTAAGGTAAATAGTTGTGGGGTGAACTGATAAGTTTCCTGTGAGCGTTTAAACAAAGAAAATAACTTTGTGTGATGGTAAGTCGCCTTTAGAAAGCTGCAATTGTTTCCTCAGGAAATGGTGCTTTGAGTAGGAAACCTGTATATGTGTATTGGTGTAGAGAAAGCTGCAAAGCTGGCTGGTATCCTGTCTTGTGTGCAGCAGTGTGTGAGCTTCTTGAAGGAAATCCCCAGCTCAGTGAAAGGCCTTGACTCCACAATTAAATGTCTCCAAAAAGAGGGGAGGAGGGGACAGGAAGATGCTGAAACAGCAGAACACTTCTTACTGTCTGTAATTCATAAAAGTTCAAAGTTTTCCTTTGTGGAAAGAAGTGGCCATCCACATGTTCTGGACCTGACAAAAGCATAATGAGGCTCAAAGACACAAAACTACTATATGACTTCAAATAAAAAGTTCTGGTGGAGAAACAAGGAATGGGGAACGATTGATGGCAGCAATAACTTGGTCTTATCAGGATGCTGATAGCTGGAAGGAATGTATTTCAATTGGACAAAAGGAAAGTACTACACTCTGGAATAGCATCCAGTTCATGGGTTGTGAGAAGTCACTGAGACAATTTAGTAAAAAGTATCTGCAAAGGTGCTGGCACTTGTACATCATATAGTGATATTCTGCCAAGACAGGTGGAAAGAGAAGCATGATAGTAAAGCAAACTGTTTCATCTGATTCCCCATGAGGATGAAGAAATCCAGCCCCTCTGTTACTATCCTTGTGTACCCATGCATACTTTGTAAATAGCAGAAATGTGCTGACAGATGGATCAAGAGAAATGGAATATATTACAGCGCTGCATAAACTCACAGACTAAGCACTGGGTTTGATCTGATGAATGCAAGATCAGTTTATAATGCAGATGAGAATACTGATTATACTGTGATTACAATGCCTGAGTATTTCAGTGCAGATATAAGCATCCAGCTGAAGACTGAAATAATCATTTTCTAGGTGTTTTGTAAGGGCTGTCCATGTCTTTTTTTTTTTTTTCTTAGTGTGAGAGTTAGAATCCTACTGTTATATATAATAAAAGGGGGGACAAGATCAAAATGCTCGATTCAGTTCAAAGCCATTCACTTCTATTCTTGTTAAGTCTTCCTGGAACTAATGTTTCCTTTCCCCCAAGCAGAGCGGCAAAGCACTCTAAATGTGTTCTGCTTTCTGTATGTTAATGGCTGGAGTTTAAGTTGGAAATTGTTCCACTGCCAATTATGTGAGTAGACTTGAGCAAGGAGACAAAGGGGCTGAATACCAAATAACCATGTGGCTGGGAAGGCAGAGAAGAAGGGGTGGGGGGTGCCGTCTGTGAAAGGCAGCATGCCAGAAGAGTTTTGTCTTGTGCGTTACTGAACAATTCAGATTGTGTGGAGGACAGCTTGGTGTCCTGAGCCACCCCGGTGGCCTGGGCGCACCCTTGCTTGGTGGGAGGAGGATGCACAGCTCAATTAAATGCAGATGCTGCTGATTCAGCCACCTCCTATCTGTTATCTTTGCCAGCTCCCCCTTCCTGCTTTTGAAGGGGCAGGGTGAAACTAGCTCTCACTGCCGTTAGCACCCTTGTTTAGAGTGGGTGGGTTTTTCCCTTCCTCTGTAGGCCTTGAGTAATTTATTCATACTCTGTGGAGAAATGGTCATAAATACTGTGAAACTCTAAGGCACAGGGATCAGGAGGTCTGGTGCAGATCATCTTGACCTTGTGCAAAAAGCTAGTCGAACATGCTGCTTGGGTGCCATGTATTAAAAGCATTGCGTTATTGTGGTGACGGAGGTGTATGCTGATGTCTCTTCAAGTTGCTATGGAATCTGAAAGCCACAGGCCATTAGTCAGGTGACAGCTTGTGCTTAGGTACTGCTCTCTGTGATGGATGCTCTATAAATGAGGGTGAAGGGGGGGAAGACAGAGAGAGATGGGCTGATAGAAACGACCTTATCCCAAGAGTTGCCAAATACCCATGATGGCCATAAAACCTTAGGCTAACAAAAATAGTTTCAAATCAACTGAGGATTCAGTGCTATAGAAAGAGAAACTAATAAAGTAGAAGCTCCCTATTTCCATTTTAACTTCAATATATTAAGCAGCTTGTAAAATCCCCTGCAGAAGGGAAAAACATCCTTGGTTGTATGTAGTGTCTTTGGTATACAAAGGGGAAAGCCTGTCTGAGGCTTAATGTGTTTGTCTGGGTGTCTGGACTTGATTAACTTCTCCCTGTAGACCTTTTCTGTCAGTCTGGTCAAGACACTTATCCTCTCTGTTCCCTTGTCTAAGTAAAGGTAATGTAACCCTTCTCAGAGGTACTGAGAGGAGAGATGCTGCTATTCATAGTAGAAGTGCATGGGCCACCATAATGAATTCAAGTATTGTACTAGTTGAAGCCACAAAGATAGTAACCAAGTTACTAAGATAAATAGACAAAAGAGTGTTTGTCCCTGTCATGGTTGTTCTGCACTAGACATCTGATGCTAATTGCCACCAGGATCTCACAAAAAGAAGTCACTTTGTCCCAGGAATGCATGGACAGTGTTTCTGCTGGATTCCTCTGTGCTGGCAAGCTATCTCTAATAGAAGGGCCTGGGGCTGAGTGGAATACAAGAGCCTCTCCTTAAAATATTATAATTGTTTGACTCCTCTTTCCTCCCTTAACTGGGGGGGGGGGAGGAGAGGACGACGACATGACAATGACTTCTGAAATGGGTTTGTGAGGGGAAAACTACACACTGTTACTCAGTGCCTATGTTATCTTAGGATGGGGCCTTCTGGAAAATAAAATGTAGTCTTCACGATAATGAAAGGGGGTCAAGGGAAATGGTGAGGGTATCTGCTACAAGTCCCCTGGTAGAATGTCATGAATCTTCTGCCCAACTGAGAGAAATGAATGACTGAGGTAAGGGGTATCAGGGTCCCCTTAGAGAGGAGTGGCTGTGAATCCAGTTTTTATTCTCTATCCTGACCATTTTGAGCTATCTTTCTGTTGGGCACAGAAGACTTTTATTAAAGGTGATCCTTGCAAAACCTGTCATTTACTCATGGATGGCAGGTATCATTGTGTCATGTCTACAATAGCTTTGTATGTATCCAAGAAGGTGTAGACACTGTGCATTTAAAAAAAAAAAAAGTTTACTATTTTGGTACCACTGCCAAAATATGTGGTTAATGATGGCTTGCTCCCTGTCATTGAACAGCTGGGAATATTGGGAAGCCAAATTATCTGTTCTGCTTTTTCTATGCTTTAATGAATGTTGCTACTAAATGTCTGTTTAAGTGACCTGATTTGTTTTGGGTGTCATATATGAAGAAGCAAAAAGGCTCATGTTCCTGAAATAGTTAATATATGAGAAGAGTGATTATAACAACATTACATTGGGACTGGTCTTCTAGCCTATATGTATAACCTAAGGGTCTGAGTTGTGAATTGCAGCATATTTCTATGTAAGCCAAGGTATTTTGCAGCAGGTGCCTTTCAATAAATTGTACTTCTGTTTATTTTTGATCAGTTCTACACTAA